TATCTGAGCATTTCAAAACGAGGCAAAAGTATAAATACAATAATTGTGCACGGCAAGAAAATTCGCAGTGGGTGAAATGGAGCAAGATCAAAGTTGCTGTTCAATTGGCATTGAAAATGTGTAGCTATTTAAAACATCTTAAAAAGTTGTAGTAGGGCGTGTCCGACTAGGAGATATATAGAAAATACGAAATATATAAACTCTATCTACACATGAGCGTGTAGAATGCAGTCGCTTTAGACTTGGTTGAAATTGCCTTTCAGATAATTCACAAAGTTCGGATGTCTAATTAAAACAGCTAAGAATTTTTTTGTAGGGAGTGACCGACTAGAAGATATCCAATATACAAAATATACTAACTCTGTCTACAAATTAAAGCGACCCACACAGTAAGGCTGTGCTACATAGTGATTTAGAGGAATATAGATTAAACATCTCAACTCTCTAGCGAGATCAACAGACAGACGAAAAACTTCAGCTCGTCGTCCTCAGCAAGACTTCTGCTGAATTTTAGGTAACCAACTTCAGTTGCAGCTAGGGAAGACTTGGCGTCATATGCACAAGGTTTATTTGATCTAGGGCAATCTGGAGTTTTGCAACTGTTTTTAATTGTGGGGCTCAGTGACTTGAGCTGGCGATCGCAATAAAGACAAATCAAAGAACAATTAACTAATATTGCGTATACGCCTGGTGAGCACTTATATTTTATTGGACATAACGGACGCGCGAGAGCGGTTGGCCAAGGCATGTTTCTGCCTTTGTGTCTCGTGGCCATAAAAACAATTGTGATTTGCCAGCAACGGCAGCGGCAGAGGCACACCAGCCGACTGTAAGTGTTGCCCCCAAGCAGCTGTTCAGTTCGCAACGGCATTTTGTGGCAAGTGGCCGTCCGTCGAGGAGGGGTTGTCTGCCCGTCTGTCCCTCTGTCTGTGTGCGTGTGTGTGAGCGTGTATTACATTAGTTGGACTTACCTTTCATGCATGTTTATGGGTAGTTAGGGCCACTTAAGTTAATTGTCAGAAAGTAGTCGACACCAGGTTTGGCATATCATTTTAAAATGTTTATTTGAAGTATAAGTAATATTTCTGACAGTAACAAGATAAATTTTCTCTTTCGTTTTGCGTTTTGCTTTTTGTTTTATTTTTTTTTTTATTTTTTATTTTTTGTTTTGCTTCTTCTTCATTTTGCTGTTTGTTACGGAAAAAAAGTGTTGGTAAAAGAATTTAGCATTTTGCTTATACGTTTTAGTATGTATAAAGTGTGTGTATACACAAATAACAGTAAATAGTTATATATATATATATATATATAAAACAGAAGAAGTATCAGAAGAAGAAGAGAAAACAACAACAAGTGAAAAAAGAGAAACAAAATTGAAATTGCTTTAAAGTTTTTCATTTTCATTTCGTCTTTTTTTTTGCTTTTTTTCATTTTTGTTTTTCTTTTGCAATATTTTATTTAATTAAATCTCTAGTTTTGTTTTGTTTTCTTAACGTTTCTTAGCAAATAAATCAGATTCGATTTTTTTGTTTTGCATTTTGTTTTGCTGAAGAGTATCACTAAAAAAATGTGTGTTACATGTGTGTGTGTGGGTTTTTATATTTATTATTTTTAAATTGTTTATGTTTAATGTAAATGTTGACATTTATTACAATATTTGATTCTTCATGCCAATTGTCATGTCAATATTTGTTACTTTTAAGAACTCGCATCTATGTAAGTATATACTTGTATATATTTTCATACATATATATATTATATATATATATATATATATATATATATATATATATATATATATATATATAAATATATTGATTTGTAAAATATTGCTTGTGAAACGTTTAACTTGACATTCGTGTATTCGTGTTGCCAATGCCGGCTGAAAGCAGACGCCGCGCATTGCACAAAAAAAAATCAAATATTTTTTATCATATTTTTTTCATCATATTTCTTCTTCATTTTTTATGAGTATTTTTTTTATTTTTTTTTTTTTACTCATTTTCTGTTTTACAATTGACTTGAATGCCTTTGCTGTGGGCCAAAAAAAAACTTACTTACTTTTTACCTAAGACCCGTCAATATTTTTGGTGTTAACAAACTTACATCGTATCTGTCGGGCCTGGGCCTCAGTGCAACTGAAGGTATTTTTCTTTTAATTTATTTCTTAAGTGATATTTACAGCTCGTTTTTGGTTTTCATGCGTCTTTGGGCTACGAAACAAGCAGAGAAACTTAGGCCAAAGAAAATCCAAAGAAAATTGTAAATGTATTTGCTTTTCTTTTAGTATGTATATATATATATTTGTTTTGTTTTTCAATTTATTGTTTTCTTTTTTCTGCTCAATTTTCGTTACGTTTAACTACTAAACTACAGACACATTTGTTTTGTCAGCTATATCACTTTCGAATTATTTAATTATTGATTAAGGTTCTCATTTGTAATGCATAATGTTGTTGTTGTTGGTGTGGTTGTTGCTGCTGTTGCTGTTGCTGTGGTGTTTTGTATTTATTTAAATGTTAGTATATTGTTAGTATATAGTATATAATTATTTCTGCATTTGCATTTCGGTTTGTCGAAGAATTTCAGTGAGGTTCTTAGAAGCGTTTGTTTTTGGTTTGACTTTCTTTGGTATTTATTATTAATTTTAGTTTGTAGTGCTCGCTACAATTAATATAATATATATATATTTTAGTGTGTCAGTATATAGATAGGTATATAGCTATATGCATATATATACATATATATATGTATGTATGGTTGTGTGTGTGTATATATGTATATCTATGCCATTTTATTATTTTTTTTTTTAATTTTTTTCAGTTTAGGCGACAGTTTTTTTTTTTGTTTTTTTTTTACGGTTTCAATTGTTTTTTGCTTGGCGTGCACTAAGTCGAAATGAAAAAAAAGAAACTGAGCAAATAATTGCAGAAATTAAATGAAGTAAACATTGCAAATTGCATAGAAAAAGTTTAGACGATTATTTATGCCGATAAGCATCTACGAATGTATAATATAAATATATATATATATATATAAATATATATATATATATAGTTGATGCTGGTGCCATATAAGAATTTCAATGTGATTGGACAAATTTGAAGTTAAGGCCACTCATTAAAGTAGACAAAGTAGCAAAATAAAATCAATAACAAGTTAAAAACTGATGCAGCTCGAGACACGCCGAGGCTCTCAATCACCTGTAGACGCGCCCAGCTGTGGCAGCTGCTGAGGATCCTGGCAGAAGGCCACACACAAAGAAGAGGGAAAGCAAGTGATGCTGCAGGCTGCTCTGCCACAGAAAGCGGACAGTCGGACAGACAAATATATCAACTAAACTGCCCAGCATATATAGTGGGCTACACCTTAGTTACCTCTACAAGTGTATAAAAATGATTGTGAGCCATATCCAAGTGATTGATTTGATATACGAATATATATACTTATATATATATATGATCATATATAGTTAATGTGTTGATGGATGCTGTGGGCATGAGCAACGTTTATAGATGTGATCAAAGTGTTCGGCATCAAATACTTAAGCGTATATGTATGTACTCCAATCTACAATACATAGGCATACATATATTATTTGTGTGTGTCTCTATATATATATATATATACATATACGTATATATATATATTGCGTATGGCATGATGGAGCGTCAATGTGATATATGTACGAGTATATAAAAAGTTATGGGTGTGCATGATTAGCCATAAGAAGTAGCAAATATGTATTCAAGTATATATATATATATAGATATATATAGTTGTATGTATATAGATATATATATAAGTAGTTTGTAATAAATTATTAACTGGGTTATTAAATCAATGCAATAATAAAGCTGAACCGCATATAGAATAGAAATTAAATCGCATGATGGATCTGTATATATATTTTTTTTGTTTTTTTTTTTTCTGTTCGTTTTTTGGGCTCTCAAACGGGGCTATTTGTACTACATAAAGATAGATAGATAGAGCAAGATATACAGAGAGAGAGAGAGCGAGAGAGAGACAGAGAGAGAGATAGAGATAGAGAGAGAGAGCTGGCTATTGTTGTACTTGTTGTATTTTCATGTTGTTGTTGTAGCTGTTGTTGTGGCTTGTTTCCTGTTGCAATTGTTGTTATTGTTGTTTTAAATTTACTTATTGCTTTTGTTTTTAGTTTTGTTTTTGGTGTTCATTGCTTTTAATATGTTAACTTTTCTTTATATTTGTTTATAATAAAAACTATATATTTGTATTTTATTTGTGGCGGCTATTGTCAAATTTACGTTAACTTAATTTGAATTGCGCATAAGAAATGCAATTTACTAAGAAATCATAATCGCAATCATAATCATAATTATAATCATAATAATCTACCCAATTTGTATGCGCTTATGTCTCTGTGTGTGTGTGTGTGTTTGGCTAATTGAAAATATATTACGTTCAGTTTTGCGCGGCTTTTGCACTTGTCATTGATTAATGCCTGGGTATTGTTGATTAATTAATTAATTGCCTTTGCTGTGTTGCTTCATCTTGTTAAATATAAACATATATATATATATATATATATATATATATATATATATATATATATATATATATATATTTATGTATATATATATATACAGATACACACATATATATATGTGTGTGTGTATATGAGTATATATATATTTATGTATATTGTATATATTGTATTAAGTTCAATCCATTTTCTGGTTTCTTCGCTTCTGTATATCAACAATGCTTACGTTTTAATGTTATATTAAATATTTTTCATCAATTTGTTTTTTTTTTTATAAATTTCTCGAAGGCTGCGCTCGTTATTTTTTGTAGTTTTTTTTAATTTTTTGTTTGCTTGCGTGATTGTTATTTTCATTTATATATATATAATAATTATACATATATATATATATATATATTTTTATTTTTTTTTTATTTTTATGCAATGATTTTTCGTTTTACTAATAATTTGTGTATGCTCAAAATATGATTTACGTTACGTTTTTTATTTTTGTAATTTATTTTATAGTTTTTATTGCTATGAACTGCGTTCTACTTACGCCACGATTTAGACTTTAGCCATATCTATATATATATATGTATATATAAACATGCATACATGTGTAAATACATATATATATATATATATATATATATATTTATATATATATATATATATATATATATATATATATATATATATATATATATATATATATATATATATATATATTTATATATATATATATATATTTATATATATATTTATATTTATATAGTTTTTAATTGAATTTCTCTATTCGTTTCTTTTATATATCAAAAAATTATTATCATTTCGAATGTTAATCGACGCGCGAAATCGAGCAAAAAAAAATATTTATTTCTCAAGTTTTTATGTTTTGTTAGAGCGACTCTGATCTTTGATTGCTTTAAAGTTTTGTTTTTGTTTATGTTTTTGTTTAACTATATATAGATATATATATAAATATATATATATATATATATTATATATGCTGTGTGGGAGTTTTTTAAGAGATTTGTAACCAAAAACCAGAAGCGCTTTCTCCACTTTGTCTCAGAAACTTTTGGCTGCATTTTGAAAGTTTTATTTGATGTTACAGTTGTAGTTGTTGCGCGTTTCTATAGATTTGCTTTAGTTCTTTATTTTCTTTTTCTGTTTGGGAATCTGTTGTTTAACCACCACCTAAACTTAACGCCTGAACTATACGTGGATCAGCTTTACTACCCTCACGAAATTCTTCTAATGTTAATTTGCCATCATGATTCTTATCCATTTGATCAAATATCTTATCCACTCGCTTCTGCGGCGTGTTCTCGTCCTCCGACTGCGGCTGCTGGCCCTATTGGGATAGATAATAATGCCATTGAAATTGCTCAGTTAGCAGCAACAGTAAATGCCAGTTGTCACTGGCTAATATCAGATATCTCTATGTATATATATATATATATGCATGGCTAAGTGTGTGTAGCAATTGTTGATTGTATTTACCACCATCTGATAGATTGCATCCACAATGTTGTACATCTCCTCGCGCGTTATGTAGCCATCGTTGTCGACGTCGTAGAGACGGAAGGCCCCTGCATGGTTGGGTTGATAAAGAGCAAATGGAATATGCCAATTGACGTTAATTGGTGGCGTCGGCCATTACATTGATTGGTCTCTCATTATGCGATGGCTCAAACTTACATTGCAATTTCTCGTCCAGGTTGCCCTTCGATGTGACGGACAGGGCGCGTATGAACTCTTCGAACTCGATTGACCCATCCTGCGGAGCACAAGCAAAACAACCGAAAAAAAGGAAGAAGAAGAAGAAGAAGAAGCGAAACAGAAGGAGAGAAAAAGCGACACCAGAGCAAATCAGTGCAGACCCCAGACAGCTAACAAGTTAAGGGCGCCAACGCCAACGGCAACGGCAACGACAGCGGCAACAGCAATGCCATTGCCCTAGCCACCATCTTAGCCAACGCCTTAGCCATCGCCACCGCCACCGCCACCATCACCGCCACCGCCACCATCACCGCCACCGCCACTGCCACCGCCACCACGTCTGCACCACAAGTCATAAATAAAATGAACGCTCCTTTATGAGTCCCCAGTGGGGTTTGGCCATAACCAAAACAGCGCATGAGATATTCGAGTTGAGTGCTACTTGGTTAGTAAATAACAACTGCGACTCTCTCTCCCTGTCTCTCTCTCTCTCCCTCCCTCTCTGTCTGTCTGTGTACCTATCTCTTTCAGTTCTAATCCAAGCTAACTGAACTCACATCTAAAGCACTTTGAATTCCATTTCCCAATAGATTCAGTTTATTTTGCATCAGCTTTATTGAGCTCTTTCAAAGCTTTTTTGCTTGCGTTTCCCAATTGATTTCTTATATGGTATATTACAATATCTGATCTACGTTTTGAGCACTCGCAACTATTCTGAAATCTCTTTTATACCAAGCTTTGATCACTTCGACTTTGCTCAAAACGATTTCTGCTCAAATTTTCTTTTCTTTTCCCAGCTATTTAGCTGTTAGCAGAACTTTGTAATATGAAATGGTTAGTCTATATAGATATAGTTATTATATATGTATATTTAGGATATAAAATGACCTGAAAGCTCTCGCACTTTGAAGGTATTCACAGACCAAGTTCAAATGCTGGTCGAGTGCCTAAAAAAGGAACTGCTCTAAGCTCCAAGCTTCTCAATAGATAATCTTTAATTAGTTCATGTTTTTTCTGGCAGCTAATTACAGGGTATACAGCCACGCATAGGCCCCAGCAATCGCGGCGCACTCTATTAAAGCATTTTGGCTAATTGGCCTAAATCGTCAACTTTTGCGCTCGAGTTGCGTACAAATTCATCATTGTCAAAGCGCCTGGCTGACTTTCATGATGGGGTTGGTGGGTTGCTTGGAGCAGGATTGAAGGTTGGTGGCTGGTGGTTGGCGGATGGCGGATGGCGGATGGCGGATGGTGGCTGATGGATATGGTGGGAGTATGGATGGCTGTGGAAACGAGCTACAAGGACATGAGCTGAATGGCCTTAATACTCACATTGTTCTCATCGAAGACACGAAACACAAGCGAAGCAAATTTACTGGGATCGCCTTGTGGGAAAAATTGTTTGTAGATTTTGATAAAACCCTAGCAGAAAGATGAGAAACAATTAGGATGTTGCGGGTGTGGCTTAATAACTCGCATGTGTGTGTGTGGGTGGTGGTATGATTCAAGTTGTGTTTTCCAATGAGGCGCGCATTAATAAATTTTAATATGAACAGCAGTCGACAGCAGCAACAGCACCAGCAACAGCAACAGCAACTGTTGCCGTCAACACATTGGAAATCGCCTGTCATTCATTTTGGCAACAGGATGTGCGGCGTGTTCTCCTTCGGCAAGGACGAATCCGTATATGCTGCAGTCAATGTGCTTGTTCTTAATGATGTTGTTCTTGTTGTTGTTGTTATTGTTGTTGTTGTTGTTGGTATTATTGTTATTATTACTGTTGCTGCTGCTGGATCGTTTCGTCTGCTGTTTCAAGAAATTAGTGTTCACATATTGAGAAGATTAACTTAATTAACAGCATGACTTGAATGAATTGAATCAGCTTAAACATGTGCGAGTGTGTGCAACTCTGAGTGTGTGTGTGTGTGTATGTGTGTGTGTGTGTGCTTACTTGCTCTGTGAGTAAACCATTCGGACAGTCTTTTAGAAATCCTTTGTGCCTGCATTGTTGCCAAATGTTTACAATTAGAATTCATCGTTTATTTATTTTTATCTCGCATTTGCAGCTCTGCACACTCACCATTGACGTATTTCTTTTTCAGTAACTGAAAAACAGAAACGAATAATAATATCTATTAAAGTGCATATGAACATTTCATAAAGCATTTTGCCAAACACAAAACAATAAAAAGGAAAACGAAAATGAAAATGAAAATGAAAACGAAAAAGCAAATTGCAAATATTCGCATATTAAATATATATATATATATATATGTATATATATATATATATATATATATATATATATTGTATAAATATAAATGTATCAAATAAATGAAAGAGTTCGCATAAAATAGAGGTATGATTCGCTGTACAGACTATAAAATACCCTTGACGTCTCAGACTTATATGATTCTAGCAGCCATCAAAATATCTCTCCTATAGGAGCTATGCAAACGATTATAAATATTTGTATAAGCGCATGATAAAAATAATCTATATCTTTGGCCAATTTCATATACATCAAATATATATGATACGATATATATACATATTATGATAGTTTTGTGTATATGTTGGCGTTGTCAATTTAATCAGCTTTCATTTTACTTTTATAGCTTTATCTCAGCGAATTATCTGCTCATCTCTATAGCTAGTCACCTTCGCTTTGTTCGCTGACAATCATATTGCCCCTGTATAAATAACCTCAATAGCCAGCTCGCTCTAACTCAGCAATATTCGGGATTATGTTCAGCAGCAGCTATCTTTCTTTCTCTCTCTTTTTCTCTTAGAGCGAGCATTAGAGGTGTAGCTAAGACACAAACCCACTCGAATAATATGCTTACAACTCTAGCCAGGCTCACAGCCTCAGACTAATACTACTGCAACCATAGGCGGCAGCTACAACAACACTAAGGAGAATTGAAAAACTTAGAGATGAGACTTCGATCTTAATCATCGTATTGATACAAATATCAGATATGCCTAGTTGTGTGTTACTAAACAAGCGCAAACAGGTGACTAACTAATTATAGATATATATATATATATATATATTCATTAAACTAAGTATAAATATATCCATTTAGTACTTTTTTCCATTTGGAGCACAGCTGTAAGACAGAACGAGAAGTTAAGCCTGGCTGTATGTGGCGATAGTAGCTATGCTCCCAGTCAAGCTGTTTTTTTTTTTCAGTTTATGTACCTAAAATAACTCCAGCACTAGCTGAATGAATATAATAACAGCATATTAATAGGTTACAGGAGCGGATTCCGCATGCAGCGAGATGTTGGCCAACTTCATTTTGATTATAATTAATCCCTAAACAAATAAGCAAACGGACCCTTGCCAGCCTTGCTTACATTTTCTGTTTGTTTTTTAAAGACTTTGGCACATAAACAATTTAGAGTAAGCCACATGTGATAGACATCGCTGGGTCCTTTCACCTATGGGCGATGGGCAGCGGGCGAATGTGCGATGGCCAAAGTGCCTATGCACGCTTTCGTACTTACATTTTTCTCATTGTCTTGCGGCCACGCCTAAAAAAGCAAACAAATTTTTCCTTCTATGCATAACAATTTTCTATATGCGGCTTGGGCTTTTTTTGTGCTTGGTTTTTATTTGTATTTTTTTTTTTTTTTTGTTTTCTTATTATTATTATTATGTTCGGCCGTGGCTGGCATTGGCATGGCCTAATGGCCGTTTACGAAACGTTTAAGCTACGGTCTCCCGATCCCGGGCCGGGCGCCAGCCACCGGCCTCCCACTGTGACCGTTATGGGCGTGTGAATGGCGCACATGTTACACCGAACCCGCCCACCAGCTTGGCAGAGTGAGCAGCTGCTGATGGTGTGGTGTGGTGTGGTGGCAAATGAGGGATCTTGCGGCAAGCAAAGTTTAAGACCAAAACATAAATTCACGCAAAATTACACACATTGGAATTGCTGTTAAGCGCCGAGCCAATGGCCACAGCCCAGCTCCCAGGGGACACCAGCTAGCAACAATACCAGGGCAGCATCCCAGAGTATTGACTGGCTGCCCGTAGTTGTCAGCTGTTGACTGGCGTCATTTTTCATGCGAACGTGGCTCATCTCTAATGCCATCTTTGAGCTCTCAGTCTGGCCTCTGATGATATATAGGCTGACCCGGCAAGAGCGTTACTCTTTTTGATAGCTGCAATTCAGCAGAAGTTTCACTTATCGCTATCATCTAGCAGTTAAAATACTCATTAAGTCTTGCCATTTGATCATCGTCTAAGAGAAATGCATCTTTGAGTCGAGCGTTATCACCAGGCTCTAGTGAGCAGGCAGAGCTGAGAAACTTGCAGAGGTGATTAAAAGATTTTATTAATGAAAAGTCAGCAGCCTTCGAGATGCTAAATATGACATTACAAATGAAAAGTTATCTCTAAGATGTTCCAGTTGTTCCAAACCTAAGTTTGTCTTTGTTTCCGTGCAAGCAAAGACCCCAAGTTTCAGCTCTACCTGCAGCTAGTAGATGAGGACTTCACCTGAAACTTAAGGTGCGGTCTGCTTAACCATTGAATTTTATGGAAAATCAATTTCAGTTAGATTCCTTTATCTTAGAAGCAGTCTCAGCTTCACATAAATTTGATTATCTGTCGCTGTGGCTGGCATTCCAATTGCAGATTTTTATGTTTGTCTTTTAATTAATTGTATCGTGTGTCAGCCAAGGCAGCTCAGCGCTGGTGTCCTGCCAACACCACAACAAAAGAGCGCACGGACGTCGTCAACTCAATAAAATCAACAATTGCCAAAGCTGATACTGAATTGATTGGTAATCGATAGAGCGACGCGAGCGGGTGGAGCGGAAGCGGGACGAGGGCGAGTAGCCACAAAGCCACCCGCAACTCGTTCACATTTTATCCCAGTGGCAAGCAGCGGGCTTTGTGTCCGCTTCTATTGCTTCTATTATTGACGTGTGGCATGTACAAATACAGTAGCGTTTACCAAAGCCATGTGTGGATTGTAAATAATGCGCATATTGCTCATACGACTTGTTGCCGCAGAGCACTGAGCGCTGAGCCACTCGCTGTCAGTCGATAACGTCGCACAGCTGTCACAGGCAAATGACTGCCATGCATTTCCATCAAGCTACGCTTTTCTTTAAAGAACCCTTTTCATTTGTGAAACGAAAATGGATTGGCCACGCCGCGCTGACGAACAAAATATGCCACAGCATCTGATATATATATTTATATATATATATATATATATAGTAAGGCATCTTCCTATTGCCAGATAAATGTGTGTTTACCTGTCATTGGCCAGGTGGCTCCTGCGGCTAACTATGCTGCAAATCTATTTATAGCTTGCTGTTCTATGATAATATATTTCAGCTTGACCTGACATAAACATGGCCTTAGCCAAGTTAGCATTTGCAATTGACAGTTTTGACATTGATAGACTTTGCTAGGCGAACTTGAAGGCGTTCCAGCTGCAGTCGGCTTTATCTATGCAATAGTCTCGCTTTTCGGCGGTCGTCCGACCGCCAAGCCCTTTCGATATTATTAAAGCTAAAGACTTGAAATTTGCAACAAGATCCAAAATGCTTAGTGGATATATCGACGCCCATTGTTGGAACTTGTGACGGGGTCTGTGACGGAGTCAGTGACGGAGTCTTTGACGGAGTCTGTGATGGAGTCTGTGACGCAGTCTTTGACGTATTCTGTGTGCCAAAACATAAACTCTGCCTGGTTCTTAACTGAATTTGTGTGCTTCACAATCCATAGCCACATTAGGCATTAGAAAATTTAGTTTTAGGATCTGAAGGATTTCTTATCAGATTGATATAAATGCAAGAGACTCGAGTCTAAGAAAACTTTATATAATTTTTTTTTTTAATTTTAAAATTTTAAATTCTAAAAATTATAATTTGAAATTTTTAAAATGGAACACTTTGAGCCATGAGAGCCAGATTAGCCTAGGCATTATACAATCTAGTTTTAGGCTCTGAAGGATTTCTTATCAGATAAATAGATCAGATGCAAGTCTAAGAATTTTTTTTTAATTTTAAAATTTTTAATTCTTAAAATTATAATTTGAAATTTGTAAAATTGAACACTTTGAGCCATGAGAGAGCTGAGAAAACTTCATATGAAACTGTGCAAAAATCTTTAATTCAAAATTTAAAATTGAATTCGAGGCAGCAAATTACAAAACTGTATAAAAAGTCATAAAAAAAGCTAGTTAAACAATGTTGGCAAATAAGTAAAAGACATTCTTTAAAGGCCTCAGCCATAGCTGATATATGTATATTGAAATTTTGAATTCTATTTACAATGATGAAACATTTTGTGGCATAATTGAAATAACTCGATTGTCTGACTGCCAGCGGCTGCAGTTTGCATTGTGCATTAGCATATGGCGAGCCCAAACAGCGGCATGTTGCACACTTGATGGGGCATTGAAAATTCCATGGCAATTGTCGCTGGCATTCAGATGGAACCGCGCCCCATGCAAGCTGCGAGATACGAGCTGCATTTCTGATTGCCATGTCACACACGCACGCACGCACACACCCAGAGCTGCTGCTGCACTCCTGGGAATGTATCATGTAGCAGCTGTACGGATGTATGGGTTACGGCTACGGCTACGGCAACGGCAACGGCTACGACTACATGAAATATTTGTGTAATCGCTGCCATCAATATGTGTGTTTACAGCGCGATTTTAATTGCATTTTGTCTGTGTGAGGACTTGCTACGTTTGCCTTTATTTCCAATCGATTCTCTCGCGTTTCTGCCGTTACACAATATTTGTTGTTTGTGTAGCGAAAACAGAACGGCCAGGTAAACACTTTAAGCCACGCGCAAGCCTGAGCGTATCTGATAAGCAAAGATGCGTGAAATAGCCAATGGAACAAGTGAAACCTGTGGCGCCAGTAGCAATTAAAGCTGGGCAAGGACACCTTCTGCACAGTTGATTCCCTGAGCCCAATCGAGATTAGAGCTTAAGCCAATTCGGCATGAATGTTGATTTACCTGTGCAATGTCAAACTAATGACCATGTTGCTTGACAAATTGCATGTCTGCGTCACACGCTCTCCCTCTCCCGTTCCCTCTCTCTCTCTCTGTCAATTTGTTTGCTGAACAATTTTAAAATCAATTAAACGTACTAATTCGTCAGCTTGTAGAACATGGCCTAAGGCGAACACCTGTGGACCGTGACAAACACACACACACACACGCACAATCCACATTTGGTAGCCCATTTATTTATAGTAGATTGTGGCCATAGATGGCCCAGCGCTGACCCCCTTGCGCCTGTCCAATTGTTATTGCTGCCCTCGTTGGCCGTGGCCCTGGCCCGAGTCTACCGTAATTTGTATCTATTTGATACAGAGACACAGTTTTGGGATTTGCACTTTATTGCTACGGTCATTTCGATTTTCGAAACCCATCCGAAACTAATCAAATTTCTAGCTATTTACTTATTCATTCGTGCGCCGGCCGCACAGTGGGTGAAAACCCACAGAAAATGCACATAAATATATATGTAAGTACGCACACAGAGACAGAGACAGAGACAGAGACAGAGACAGACTGAGAGAGCACGAAATATCTTTAATGTAATTCCCCAATTGATTGCCCCGCCCAGCAGCAGGAGCGTTGAGCCCGGCTAAGGTGCAACGGGGGCTACAAATTTAGCATATTGCTCATACGACCCGTTGTATCCGCTCATAAATTGAATTCCAGTTTATTTGTTTGGCGAATAAATAAATCGAATTCGTTGTGGCTGCTGCCATCAGGTGCAGACAGTCGCCCACCAGCACTTTACAGTTTCAAATGTCAGCTCAGCATCCCAAATACAAACACACACACACACACACACACACACACATATATATATATACATAAATATATCCCAAGAAATTTGATTAAATTTACAGTTAATTGCATTTGAGCCAACTAAGGATCTGAATCGTAATCATTCGTAGAGCCCATACTACCCGAAACAGAGTATCGGACAGCTTATTGAATTGCATAGCAAAGCGTAAAATGAATTTCAAGAAAATGTTCGCCGTGTGCTGGGGGAGGGTGGAGCTCAAGAGGCGCAAGACAAATTGCTTGGACCAGGACATTAAGAACTGGCAACTTGGCAGCAATCTGTCAACACTTTCGAGGGCGCCCGCCAGGTGCACCGAATGCCCTCCAGCTGCGTAATTATTTATATTCCCGCCTCACGCCGCCCACCTGCCGTCGCGTCCTTCGACCGCAAAAGGCAGCAGCGAAGCACGAAATGCGAAAATACTTTAAAAAGCAATTAGTCAACAAAGTTTGTAGGCCCCAACTGGCTGCCTGACTGGCAAACAGCACAAAAATAAAACATTCAAAGACAACGCAAAATAAATAAAAAAAATAAATAAAATACTTAACAACAAAATATGACCAGCAGAATCTAATTAAAGTAATCAGAAAATGGGGAAAGCAACGAAAGCAGCTCGACCTCAGTGATAAAGGCAGGCGCATGTATTCAAGCAGAGAGTTATTAGAGAGCAGAGAACAAATGTGCTCTGAAGACAGCCTAGATCAGTGAGAGAGCGAGAGAGAGAGAGAGCGAGTTGCAGCAACTCTGAGTGAGCAGGGATAGGGAGCGGGGCCTCAGCTGGAGCTAATCAAATATTAATGCTGCTCGACTCTCTAGCTCTCTTGGAAGTGCTCGTTGTGATGGTTGCAAGCGACAGTAAAAAAGTCAATCAAAATATTATCATATGTGACTGCTGCATATCTACTTACAGTATGTGTCAGTTGTTAAGCGATCGATGGTATCCTGTTTCAATTTCGAGCTCTTTTTTCCCATGTTGTCGTTGTTGTTTGTCCTTTTACCGCTGCTCTTTCCGGTGCCGGTTGTCGCTGTTGTTGCTCCTTAACTGCCGCTGTTACTGCTGACGCTTCACCTTTTGGCAGCACTTGACTACTATTGCTCTTTAGTGCCCAACTTTGAAGTTTCACAACTTGTTTCGACTTCTGCTTCTCTTCGTTTTTAACTTTTCCCAAAGTTTTTTAATATGCTCTATAATATTTCGCTAGATAAAAAAGTACACACAGACGCACACAGAGGCAACTATAACTGTAACAAGCATTACAACAGAATTGCACCATTTCACACAAACACTATTGATTTGACTTAAAATGATTTTGTTTTTCTTTTGCCTTCATTTGTTTTCCTTTTTCGTGCCAATTTGCGCTATATTAAACTTGGTCCACTTGCCAGGTGCGTTGTTCCGTGTGCCGATAGTCAGGTGTTTAGATTAGAAGATAAACCACGAATATTGATAAGCAGCAAACTGCGCGCTTTAGCTGCCCTCAATCCTCAACTGCACGTAGCTCATAGCCTATATATATATATATCTCATCGATTATGTGAAAATGGAATTTTAATAACGTTAGCTAAGCTTGGTTTTTGTATAAAGCAGGTCCAAGCGAACTAAGCTAACGAAACTTCCTGTTTCGTCTCATGTAACTCCCGTAAAGCCAACGTCTGGTGGGTAAGGGGACTTTAGCTTAACTGCTGAATGCATTTGATCTCCTATATATTGAGTACACCTCGATAGAAGTAGATAGTACACCCTCAAAATACGTGGGCCTGCCCACTCTGCGATTCTCATGACTGTCTTAAGTCTTAGGGCTTCCTCTTCCTCTCTTTATTTCTCTTCTTCTAGTCTCGCTTTTTTCGCTCTCCCTTTCCGCTTTTTGTGTCTTGCTTTTACTACTATTCTACCTATGTCTCTGTACATTTTTCTTACGCTCTCTCTCTTTCAATATATATTTCTCTCCCTCCCGCATCGCTTTCCTTTCACTCCATTTCTCTCTTTGTCTTTGTTGCTTCTTCTCTCTCTTTTCTTTCAGTCTGCTTCCCTTTTCCTTTCTCTCTCTCTCTCACTTTTTTTCTCTTTCCCAGACTTTCTTTTTCTCACTCTATTCTTTCTGCCTCTTTTCCCTTTTTCTTTATATCTCCCTCTTTATTTCTCGCTCTTTTCCCTTTTTCTTTTTCTATGTCTCTATTTACCTTTCACTCCCTCTCTTTCTCCGTCTTACGTTCTCTCCCTCTTTGTCTTTCTGTTACTTTCTCCTTCTCTTTCTGTCTCCCTCTTTTCTTTTCTCTCCCTCTCTCACTTTTTCTGTGCCTCTCAGGCTTTATTTCTTCTCACTCTATTCTTTCTCTCTCTTTTCCCTTTTTCTTTAAATCTCCCTCTCTTTCTCTGTCTTCTTTCTTCTCTCTCTCTCTCTCTCTCTCTCTCTCTCTCTCTGTCCCTCTCTTTCCTCAATTTTCCTTTCGCTCTCTTTCTCTCGCTCTCATTTTTTTCTTCTCTCTGTTCTCCTTTCTTTTTGTCGCTCTTTTACTTTCCTTCTCTCTCTCTCTCTCTCCCTCTCTCTTACTCTTCTCCCCTTCCTTTCCCTCTCTGTCTACTGTGACCTGGGAAACTCTTTTATTTCCATTTATGCAGACGACTGCAGAGTGCACGAAACGTAAGCTCGATTGACAGGATTTGCAGATTGATCTGCTGTGGAAGCAAGCGTTTGGCATAACGGATTACGGGTTATCCTGTTGACAATTCATTTGTTATGGCTGTGTGCGGAGATGTTGTGCAATTTGCATGGAATCCAACACAAAGCTGACGGCAGACATTTTGATGACTCGGCCAGCAGCAAGCCATGCGACTGCTGGCTAGCTGTTCAATTTGCTAGAGAGACGAGGCGTGTCATGGACACAAAACGGAATAATGAAGACGTACACAAAAACATAATAGAACAGAGCGCACGCGGCACACACAGCATTTCAGGCCAACTCTAGACTCGAACTTTTCATGACAGTTGCCAATGGCAGCAGCGGCAACAACTAAAAAATGGCCAGAACGAGAAGCTGATGCTAACAAAAGCGCATAAAAAAGAAACTTAACCCTGCATATGTGGGCAAAGAGCGGCCAAGGGTGGTGTCTCTAGCCCACTCCCCCACACTAGCTCTCTCACTTTCGCTCTATCTGTATTGCCTGCTGCCACTGACGCGCATAGCATAAAAATAAGTTGCCTTTGTTTGCCCAGGCAGACAGACACGAGTGACGACAATGACGACGACGACGACGACGACGACGACGACGATGCTGACAATGTCGCTCGCAATGAGGCGCATAAAAATGCAATGAAATAAATGCTGTTAATTTCAGACGCAGACTACAGCAGCAGCAACAATGGCAACTAGCAAGTTGTAGTTGGCAAGGCTGTGGCATGCGAAACGGCCGTAAAGCCGCAACAAAAAGTGTCAAGTGCGGGCCAACAGCCAACAGCCAACAGCCAAAATCAAAACCACATACTCAGCCCGCCCACGAAAGTATGCAACGCCTTTTTTAAGCATCCCAAGTAGAGCGTGCCTGCTGCTGCTGCTGCTTATGCAGATCTTCACGCACACACTCGCAAGTGCATAACATATTTAGCGCAGTCAAGCCACATACATACAAAAACTTTTAACTTTCTGGCTGGGTTGAGTTGGGCTGTGTGGGTGGTAAACAGAAGGCATTAAATATTATTCGATCTATGGCAATTGTTGTTGCCTGGGCTATTATTTTAAAAGTCGTTTGTGTCCTCGTTTGTTTACCAAATTGACAGCAACACAACACACAACAGCGATAACACCTGACTTGTTTTTCGGTACACAGACTATTTTCATTTGCCAACTAACCACGACTTATTCTGTGCATATGCAGGTGTGTGCGTGAGCGTTATCTTGCCAGCTGCATCTGTGTGCGTGTGTGTGTGTGTGTATTTGTGCATTCGTGTGTAATGCCTGGCGAAAAGCTTTCTCAGTATTTCGCTTTGCTGAATTGTTCACACTAAAAATATTTTTACGTTTATTTCGTTCACAGCTGGCTGCTAATGCAGTGCCAGACAGAGATGCAGGTAGCCACACACACACACACACACACACACGCAAGGCTTTGCCTTTGCCACGCCCACCTACCCAAAAAGTCGGTGGCTTTGGCTGACTTGCAGCTGTAACTCGACGCTTTTTATCTGAATGAATGTCTCCCCAAGTGTGTGTATGTGTGTGTGTGTCTAAGTGTGCGTGTGTGTGTGTGTGTGTGTCTGTGTGTGTGCTGGCATTTGCCTGTATTGCTGCAGCATTTATTTCTCATGCTGTTGCAATTTTATTGCTGCATTTCTGTGTTCATCTTTTACTTTGCTCACGGCGCTCTGGGAAAAAACGCAGCCTTAACGTATGCAACACTTTTTTTCAGTTTCTTTATCTTTATTTTATGTTTTTTTTTTTGCTTTTGTTTTTGTTTTTGATATTTTCCTGTTGCTGCGCTGCTTGTTACTGCTACACACGCCAGCAAAACTTTGGCTTTGGCTTTGGCTTTGGCAAGTTTGTCAACGCTGACGCCGTCGCCAGCAATCGCCATAATCTGGCGAGCTATTCGAATTAAATGGATTGTGAATTATATTTGTGCAGCACTCGAATGACAGGTCAGTCATAATAAATTCTCATATGAATGCGAATGCGAATGTGAATGCGAATATGAGTATTTAAGTGCTTGCCACATTCATTTTTGATGCTCTACATAAAAATTTGCCATATAATATATATGATTTCCATAAATATATTTGATGATTGAACAAATCGCATCGAGCTCAAAGCTTTGCGCTTTATCGCCAGCTTATTTTATAGATATTCCTGATCAGTTTAACAAGCTGAGCTGCTCTAGCAAATTTTAAATACGCATCAATTCTCGCTTCATGCAATAGAAGTTTATCAACTTTTTCGATAAGTCAGTTACTCTTCGAAATATCGATAAGAATCGATATTTATATTTATTATTTATATTTTATATAGTTATATTTATGGCAGTTCAAGGTTTTGTGAATGCATAGGTGACAAGCAGAAGAAGGCGTGGCATATATATATATATATATATATATATATATATATTCTTGAACAAAACAATGAGCTGAGTAGATCTAACTGAGTCGAAGCTAAAGACTTGAAATGTTGAATGTATTTCAGTGAATACCAACACATTACGAGCTTATCAGCTTTTTTCGATAATTTAGTCAACTTCCTTATTATCGATAACAATCGATACATTTATATCAACTGTGTAAACCTAGCTAGAATAGGGTTTTCAGTCATAGTACAAGTCTCATCCCTCACAATCTTCTCTATATCGATAAAAATCGATATCACATTTGATATGTAGAAGCTTTAGATGACTTTCAATTCACATCTTTGTTCCCATTCTAATTTCAAATGGTCTTGGGCATAATGCTATATATAAATGTATAATATGTTCATGATAAAGATCGAACATCTACAAACGAAGTTAATAAATAACTAATTCCAAATATGGACTGGGCCTATGGGAAGAAACGCAGCTGCTGCATAAAGTGCGCACTATGTAATCATGTGCCACAGTGTGTGAGTGTGTGTGTGTGTGTGTGTGTCAGAAAATTAGAATATTGAAATAGCAGATCGATGCAGGGCTCGGGATAACTTCTAGTCGTGAGTGGAGAGTAGATATATATAGTGCAGTATAATGTATACAATTTTCGAATCACTCTGAACTAGCTCAGCGCTACTTTCGATTGTTATCATAGCTTCGATTGTTATCGATAGCTGTCGCAGAAAATGCTTAGCTTTGGTTTGTCTCTATTGACACTGAGCTCGCTCTCAATTTGTTTGCTAAATGAATTAATTATGACAAATATCGTTAAGAATCGATCGATTTATAAATTAAAATTATGGCTTTAACTAAATATATATATTTGTAAAATATCATATATATATATATGTAATTCATATGTCTGAGCCAAATGATTTCCTCTTTAGCTAGTGCAAAAATAGTTTGAGTAGTTTTTAGATTGAAAAAATATTCAGAAATTGTAAATTTCTTTTAGCTAGGAACTTAAGTGACATATCGTAATAGCTTATAGATCGATTTCTATCGATATTTAGAAAATTCAGTGCAATATGTAGCTATCTATATCGTCGAGAAGATGTAAAGAAAATTTGCAGTCTTTTGGCTTTTGCTTAACGTTTTCAAACAGTCGCATAGACCGAATTAGCCTGAGCAAATATATATATATAT